GCGCGGCGCCGGGGCAGCTCGGTCCCGCTGGTTTCTCCCCTCCGAGGCGGGACTTCAGCCCTCCTCCCGCCCGCCGCCTCCTCGCCTTCCTTCCTGCAGTCCCATCCCTCCCTCCGCTCCTGTCACGTCCCCCCTCCCGGCCCTGGACGCAGAGGCAGGGGACGGCCGGGGAGAAGCCAGCCCGGGCTGTGAGCAGGTCTCGCCTCCCCCGCTGGGCTCAGCGGCGCGGCTGGCCAACCTGTTGCTCGATTTTATTTTAATTTTAGGTTTGGTTGGGGGGGTTGGGTTTGGCGGTTTTTGGTGGTTTGTTTGGGTTTTGTTTTTTGTTTTTTGTTTTTTGGTTCGGGTTTTTTTCCCCAAGTCTTAAACCTCAGCAATATCTTAAACGGATTACACGGAGGAGGGGTTGAAGCTGAAAACCTCATTCATCCTCACTACGGTCCTATTCATTGCTGAAATAGGTGTAGCGTAGAGCCGGTAAGATGCTCCCCCAGCCCCACTCGCATTTTGGGGATCGGTTTCATCTTTCCTCCCTTGAATAGCCGGGGATGGGAGGAGAGGGTCTTCTGAGGTGCCAGAAGCTTAATCATAAATCACCTACCTTGTTTGTCCTTCTGTCCTTTGGTCATAGAGGGGCTCCAGCCAGCTGTGTGGTCTCACGTACCGTTGCTCCCGCTGAACAGTTTCCAAGTTTGAGGTAAAAGATCAAATCGCACTTTTCAGGGACTTATTGAGACGCTCAGAAATAAAAAATAAGTAAAAATGAAAATTTTTTAAAAAATCGTTTAAGGCTATTCAGTCCTACTCATTTTCTCCCACGTGTTTTCACAATTACCATGTATTTGTCTTTCTCTGCTTCAGTTTCTAGCTCAAAGCTGTGGGATTTTTTTTTTTCAAATAATAATAATAAAAAAGTTAGAAGTAATAAATTAGGAGTCAGTTTCTCGTGGTCGAAGCTGAAGATCTTATTTCAAACCCGGCTAGCCAGGAGCCTGGAGAAGTTGCAAGGCAGCGGCTGAAAGTTTGAGAGATGTACAGCATCAGATAGTCTCTTTGGTGATGCCTTGCTGACCAAGGAACTGTTTCAATGAGGTTTCTCAGCAGCAGCAGCAGCAAACGGGTAATATTTTCCAGACGTCTTTTTCTTTCCTGCTGCTGCTGCTTTTCTGCCTCCTCCACGTTATGGGGTCTTTTAACAAGTGAGACTTGAGTTGTTTTAATAGGCGGAGGATGGGAAGAAGGAGGGGAGGGAACTCCTGTAAGGAGGAAAAAAAAAGAAACCAACCCTGCCCATTGAAATGATCTCAGCCAAGGACCAGTTCAGCGGCAGGAATTCAATTAGCTAAGTTGCAAATTTTGCAGAGAAATGCAATACACACATGTTGCCACCACCTGATTTCTCCTTCATGCCCCGCAGTTAGGCGGAACCCCCCACTTTCCCCAGTCCCTGCATCTCTAGGCTTGGGGTGTGGGACTCGTCCCTCCCACAGCCCCTATTCGGCTGTGACAGTTTTTGCTGCTGCTGGTTTTTATTAATAAGGGAATTGCCTCTGTGAATGGGTGAACTGCGCCGTTTCCAATCCTGCTTTACCCGTTCACTCTCGGAAACATTTGCAGTAGTAAATACCCAAGGAAGCTCCCACTGGCATTAATACCCATGCCGCTTGTGTTAAAACAAGCCAGGAAACACGTTAGACGATTTAAGAACTGGAAAATTGTGTGGTGGTTTTATTTATTTATTTATTTATTTATTTAAACCAGAAATGTTCACTCTGTGCTCTGTTGATGGTTTTACAGTTAGCCAGGGGCATCGGCACTTAACAGCACACCCCACCGTCTGCCGCCTGCCAGCAGCTTTCTCTCCCACGGGCGGGCTCCTTCCCTTTGTAACTCCTCTCTGCCTCAAACGCGGATTTCCCCGCTTTCGAACCCCATTTCCACTTGAAATTATCTAAAAAGGCACTAGGTGGCACTGTTGAAGTGAGAGGAGCAGGACGGAGCCTGGTAACACCCAGAGCCGGGATGCGCTGCCGGAGCGGGGCCGGTGCGGGCGGGTGCGCGGAGCCGGGCTGGATGCTGCTGTGTCTCGCCGTGCCCTGGCAGGGACCCTCGGGGGAGGATGGGGGGGAATCGGCTTCGCATTCCCCAGAGCTGTTTTCTCAAGGACCACAAAGGTCGCTGCTTGGAGGCGTCGGGCCCACAAAGGGGATCATGTCCAGACACTGTTGGGAAACCCAGTGATGACTCCTTGCCAAGTTATCGCCCGTCATTACCTTCTGGCATGGGAAAACTCTGCAGCGCTCTGGGGGCTCCTCATATGCAATAAATGGTTTAAAGTCAGTGGTTACCTAGGCTGGAGATTTTTTGGGTACCTTGGGGAAGTGGTCAAATCTTTGGGTGTGCTTAGTCACTGCCAAGGGCAAGAGTGGCTTTAGGATGTGCATCGAAGCCGAGCTCTTGAGCAATTGGTCTGCCTCAAATAACAAGTCTGCCTGTAGTATAAGCCAGAGTTTTGTGGCTGTTTTAACCTGGCAGTGCCAGGGAAAGCAGCTGTCTCACCCTCCTCCTGCTTTGGGCTCCTCATTCCTGTCTCCTCACTGTCCCTTTCCCTATGTCAGGAGAGCTGACCTAGCTTAGGAAATAGCTGTCTGGGGAGAGGGAGCAGCAAAAAAGTAAGAACAAGTAGCTTGGGCAGGGAGAAGGCAGGACAACTGCTTTTGGCAGCAATCTGGTTTATGATGGTTTAGAGTGTCCTTGAAAGTACAGCATGGCTTAGCAAGCATGAAGTCTGTCAGGGCTTTCAGGCCTTCCTCCCTAGGCAGCACCATTCCCATACTCCAACCACCTCCAAATGATCGCTGTTACACAACCTTTTGCTACGAGGCCCAGCACAGCTCTCTCATCAGGCAAGGGGCAAATTGCAGTGTCTGCTCCAAGCAGGGCCAGAGGGCAGAAGGGTGTCAAGAGGGATACTGAACCCCCTGTCCACACTAGCCTTCCTACCACCCAAATATCTGGTGTAAGCCAGGCTTATAACATGATGAACATTTGTCATTTAGCCAGGCAAGGAGCTATCACCAAGCTTTGCTACCATCATACACGTAACCAAGTCCTCGACGTCTGTGTGAGTCCTAAAGCATGATTTCCTGACATCAGACTTTCTCTGATGCTGCCAGAGGCAAGAGATGATTAAGTCTAACACAGATGTCCCAAGTCCATCCTTGAACATGGCTACCCCCAAAGCTGTGCCTTGGAGAGCTGTTGCTGCCAGCATCTCTTGGGCTCCCTGGGCACTTGTTTGCCTTGCCTTGATTCAGGGACACCTATGTCCTGCACAAGGGACTTCACGTCTAGGACAATTTCTGAAATGAGGTTTGAGGGGGATGGGTTTGTTTGGGTTTTTTCTTCTTTTTGTAACCAAGTGTTACAAATGAAGTTTTTCAAATGTGCATTTGTTACAAATGAACTATTATTTCTTATTTTTTGTATTCCACATTTTAATAGTTTAAATTTGGAGGCTGCACGTCTCCTCTACTGATGACTGTATATTACTCTGGAAATACACAGTGTCCCATTGGCTTAATCCCATGCTCTTTAGGTTTGAACAGGGATCAAGAGACAGATTCTGGTGAGGCACAAATCTTTGTGTCCTACTTGTATTACAAGGGCAGCAATAGCAGCACTTAAATCACACTGAAACTTTGTTTTAGAAAATGACATAATGGGAGTGGTGAGTCTCTCATGTCCACAGCTACTTCCTTCTCAGCCATAGCTCATGTTGTGTGATCATGCTGTCAGGGCAAGCGGGATAACGTAGGTCACTGAAGCTAGGTTCTCCTACCAGGAAGGAATTAAAAGTAGGAGGATATGATTAATGCCAATCTACGCAGTGCTATAGAAAACAGATGTAGATGTGTTTCATTGGAAGTATATCACATCTACATTTATACGTTATGTTACGTCCACATGGTTACCATTATCAAACAATCCTGTTTTCTAATTGGGATTTATAATCACAAGTAGTGGGGAAGAGGGACTTCTTGGCTGTCACTGTCTGCAGGCATAGATGATCACCAGCAGTAGGAGTATAATCTTAATGAACTAACCTGACTTCATTTTCTCATGAGGCAATGGGTTTGTTTGACAGAGGCCAGACAAGATATATTTTGGGGGGAGTTTGACATAGGCTATGGTTAAATAAATTGGCTATCGCAGAGCAAATTAGGGGATGAATTGATGGCATGTTAGCCACTCTCCAGCAACTATTGAGTACTTGCTTTTATCTTGAGGGGATGGCTCCATGTGTATTTTTCCTGCCTCTTCTTTCCTATCACCCTTAAATGTGTCAATCTTCTCCCCAACATACACCACACACACACACATACACATCTGTCAATCTACTCCCTCATTTGGACCAGCAGTTTGCAGTGCTTAACTGATTGCTTCAGTGAACTGATCAGTGTTGAAGACAGCCACAAAGCATGAAAGCCATTTCCTATGTGCACGTATGACCTGGCTGTCCAGGGTGAGGGGCACAGGGATGTTCTCGGGTGGAAATGAGCAGCCGGTGGCAGCTGGCAGCAGGACTGCCCTAAACAGCATCCTTGGTAACATTGCTGCCAGGAACATATGAACAGCGCTGGTCCCTCAGTGAAGCTGAGGTGGCTGAGCCTATCCATGCTGAAGGGCTCTTACCTCGCATCTTCTCTTAAGGTAAGGATTTACACAGACTCTTCTATTGCAGATCAGCTACTGTGCAGAGCTTATCAAAAAGAAAAACAAGAAGCAAACTGTTTGCAATGCACAGTTGTCTTCATAGTAAGAAAATGAGAGATAATAAGGATCTTTTTCCTGTAACAGTGAAAAGCTAAACGTGGAAGGTAGACATATTCAAGCTAAACAGGAGGCACATTTAATAGCGAGTTTTCTTTAACGGTTGTCTGAACGATGAAGGGGAGTGGTGGATTCCTATGTTTTGAAATCCTCTGGATGCTTTTTTGGAAGCTACATTTTAGCTCAGTGCAATTTGTTGGACACAGTACAAGAATAACTAAATGGATTTCCATAATGAGGATGTCAGACTAAGCAATCTAGCAGTTCTTTCCATCCCTAAACTCCATGAAACTACCAACAACTGGACTGACATGTCAGGTGTGTTCCACACCTACTTCCACATGTAGCGGATTCTGCTGGAAGTGGGAGAGTTACAGAAACTGATATGGGTGGAAGTGAAAGCGGAATCATGCCCTAAATTATGATTTTATGGCAACTGAGAATCCACTTGCAGATTTTAATATAAATGTCGTGGGCAGTTTGAGGCTCATGAAGACTGGGTGCAGACAGACCTAAAACTCTGTGGTTGTTTTCACTATATACAGAACCATTTTAGAGGCTGCCAGTGTTCTGGGCATTTAAATCCAAGGATATTTATAAGTAAAGCTTTACAGGATCTGGAGAGAACCACTGGTCTTTAAAATGAAATCACTCTGGCAAAATTGAAACTTTCCAACAAATTCTCTTTCATATAGCAGAGAAAGCCATAACTCAAAGCAACAGTTAGAAGTTAATAGCAGACAGGTTCAGACTAGAAACAAGTCATGCACATTTGGATGTGTCCAGAACTCTTGGCTAGAATGGACTGTGATTGTCAGCAAAAATGCCTTTCAGGATGGTTTGAAGTAATGAGTTTTAATGTGTAACCAGCATGGAATAGAAGTAAAAGCGGGTCAGTTAGAGGTTTCTTTTGTGAAGTCTAATTTAAGAGAAATGACTTAATCGCATGCCTGTAGTCTAATGTGACAGTAGTGAGCGCCCAGTTTAGAACAACTCGATGTTATTTTTAAATAGCAGCATTAGATTCTGTTTAGAATCCATAGATAACACCACATAAAACAAAGAGCACATGCAATTGAAAGATAGATCTACAAACAATGACTGTGCTAGTAAACTAAGCTGACCAGAGCCAGGCCGCTCAAGGTTGGCACATGTTCATCCACACTATTTCACTGCTGCCAAGCTCCTGCCAGGGCTGATCCTGACCAGTCTGGAGAGCCCGACCATCCCCCAAGAGGACCAGTTTCCTACCTGGGAGGATGTCAGGGCTCTCACCTCCAATGTGCTGCTCACAGGATGGGGACACACTCCTGTACATT